TAGTTAATAGCTCGTTAATTAGCTGAGTAGAGTCCTATAAATAGGCCTCGCAATCGTTTTTTCTGACTTGTTCATTCATGAAAAAGTTGCGGCTCTTCATTCATTTTATCTATCTGAGGAACAACACATCCGTCCAAGACGTTTTAACTCTGATCCAGACACATCAGAATCTGCATCTCACCTGTTCGCCAAGCTTGGAAATTTGCTTACAAACTTTGCACTTCACAAGCACTGAAGATGGAGATGAAGATGACTGTTCATATTTTTCAACAACAAAAATGGCTCTTTTGCCCGGCATTTATTCATAACTTTGAAAGAACAAGTCAGAGAAACAACCAACTAGTTTCCACACAGACCGCAATCACTTGTCGAGAATTGTATTTACCGAACTGACATTGGTGAACAACATGGAGACTAGGCTTTGCGTGGTGGATCTATCTGGGGACCCACACCCAGTGCAATTAGACAGAGATTGTCAGAGAATGAAACGCTTGATCGGAAATGTATGATTAATTTGGCTAAGTGGTTGGAACAGACTCAGAAGTAATTTGGTTTCTTTCACACTTCAGCCCACCTCTTCCTATACAGTGCAACTAATAAGGCCATACCATCTTATCAGAAAATATGCGAGCTGACCGTGACAACGAACTCGCTCGCCTGCTCTTTCAGCTGCGCTGTCAATTTGATTCGTTTGTGCTTATTTACTTCCTTCAATCCACGTTTCAAGTGTCCAGCCAGGAGTTCAGAATGTAATCTCTAAGACAAAAACCCTGCTACCACAACGTCTGCAAATCTAATTATGTCATTAAGCAAGGAACTAAACCAACTAGTACCTTTCTGTTGTCCACAATGATTACAGAAGTCTATTACTCGCGCGTCTTTACCACATTATCACTCAACGATATGAATTCAGGGCTCCGGTCGGCAAGGAAAGTTGGAGAGCTTCATTTCACTAGAAGTTGCCGGACTCCTCGGCTGTGAAATTGAGCGTTCGAGGATTAAGATAACAACGGCCACAATAGGTTTAAAAAGTGTCAATCGTGATCACTGTTTCCTTTTCATAGAACACCAGAGGGAACCTTACACTAACAGTTATCCAAACACCTGATGTATGCGTCGACCTGATAACTGGTCATGGTTTTATAATCACACTTAAAAAAATGACATCTTTCTATGGAAACATTGTTTTTCGCTACGTGGACTGACAGCTTTGAACATTTATCGAACGAATGTAGACCCAGAACAGATGAGCTTCCTACTGAACGAAATCCAACAATTGAGGAAATGGAGAAGCATTCAACCGGATAAGTAAGTCTCTTAATGAGCGCAAATTATTGTTATTGCTTACCCCTATCGCAAAAGGCCTATGGATGTTGACTACAGCCAAACTACCAATATCTGACGCACTTAGGCACTTATCAGTTGTCAAAATGGAACGTAACCAAAAAGTAGCACACTATAGTACTTTTAGCAATTTCGATTAGAGAAGTACTTACTGCCTGTCGGGGCGACGAAGAGAAACAATACACCACGTTCGAGGCTTGTGGAAAAGGATATCAATTTTTGTTAACCCCCTATGGTGTAACAAACGGAGCCGTGTGCTGTCAGCGGACTACTGATCACAGAATCCGAGAAGCACAACTGAAACACACCTTACCCACGTCGATAACATTATTGTTTGTGGCCACAGAGTATGAAAATGACTAAAGTGTGCGACGCTTTAGGGAATCCGTTACTCGCTATGACATTACCGAAATAAAAGCAAGCTTATACTCCGCACGAACTCAATAACCCTCCTCGTTTATGAGTAATCAAACGGAGTTCTAAAACATGATTCCGCAAGACTCCAGCCCCTGCGAGACATGGTGCCGTCACAATAGTTGAAGTCTCAAGGTTGTGCTAATGCAGCGATTGTGTATTGCCCCCAATGGATTTCTCTATTTTTCTATTGTTTTTCATTACCATCGACGATTTTCCTTTGCCCAACTTGACTTTAAATCATCAATGATCGACCTTAGAGCTGTCCCATTCGGCTATCAGAAATAGGCTTACGCATCTGTCGAGTCTGTGAGAAGGTAGCAACATTGATTGTTAGGCCATCGTCGCTTTGAACTAGTTACCGTTCAACTATGTGTCCTTGGTGTGTGGAATGCAAAAAGAAGAGAAAAATAAAGAATGAAAAGAGTCCATGTTGGGAATCAGAACTTTTAACCTTCCATTTTGCTGTTATCCATCGGGAAAACTCTGCCGCAGAAGTAGGTTAGATCATGTGGCCTTTGTAGTGTCCTGAGCTCANTGTTCCATGAGAAGTTGCCACCCGGGAGTCCGTGATCCGTAATCAGTTCAGTTTAGATTTTATAACCATGAACCACGCATTTTCGTGCGCCGGTTTTGGTTGCTGTCTTTTCGATGCCCATTTGGATAAAAGGGCAGAATGAAGATTGGAATGTTGAAAGAAAATTCAAGCGGAAGATGGAGAAATCATGTAGACTGGCATTAGGGAAAAAATGAGCCGATGCACAAGCGTCACTGTTTCCGACACCCAGGTATATCATTCAGTGTCTCTAACCATCGGTGACCATCATCCTGAGGTCACCAACCAGAAAGCCTAACGGGACCTATGTGACTTAGTCTCCTGGTTAGGATTTTCATACCCTCATACCAGGTCTCAGGTTGGTTACTCTTCACCTTTTTCCGACCGCTACCCGCCTCTGCAAACATCGCTCACCGCGGCAAACCATCTGGTGACATGCGCAACACGTGCTCCAAACAACGTAATCTTTAGAGGTCGACCACTTGCCCCAATGGACGACCGCATTTACCTAAAACTCTACGTCTAACCTCACAACTGCTCGTCCGGTTATTCCACCAGACTCGGGTAACGCGACGCAAACAGAGGTGTTCGAACCGATAATCTATTTTTATCCTGCTCCCGTAATGACCACGTCTCTGCACCGTGGAACAGCACTGACCGATCTGCTGCAGCATATACTCTACCCTTCACAGACAGCCGGATGTCAGGACGGCACCACAAATGTCTTAAGTTGGCAAATGCCAACCGCGCCTTTTGTGTACGCACCGACACTTCAACTGTGATCCGTAATAGTCACTTGTTAATGATAATCGATCAGAATTCTTATTTTCCGCTTGTATTCGCATAAACCTATATGAGCTTGAACACTATCATTCTTACTTTAATGAACTATTCACCATTTTTGGACTGCCTTAATATATCAAGTTTGATCGTGATCCTTCCTTTGTGCGTGACTCAGAAAAATATTTTCTTCAAAGCCATGGCATTGCGATTAGTCGCACTTTACCGTACCGACCCTGGGACATTGGTCAGACTGAATGCAGTGGGGATCTATACTGCTCAAATTAAAATCTTGATTTGTGTCCCGGTTACTGTGGCAACGGTTTACTTGAGGTGCTACGGTCACTCCTGTGAGCACAATAACTAACATTATATCGGATCTTTCGCCACAATTATAAATGTGTTTTTGGGACCTCGTTACCTGACCGAGCGCCCATTTCCGTCAAAGGGTTTACGCCAGTCTCAATATGATCCGCTGTTAGAGGAATTCGACCTTATTGAATGCAACCCAAGTCAAGCCCGTTGGGGACAGGGGAGAATACATGCGCATACAGAAGAATAAACTTAAGACTTAACTCTACAATCGATAAACGACACTCCGAAACAGACAGTTAAATCGACATGTAACAAGTTATCGGGCCGGAATGTTTCCAACAGAATCATGACCCTGGAGGCTGGTGCTGAAATACACAAGATTCAATGTCCGCATTAAGCTCGCAAAGATGTCTTATGCTATGTCGTGTAAAAGGAGAAACGAAAAACGATCTGATCCGCTGCCAGATTGCCGATCAGGTAGTATGCTTGCGGTCTGCCTGTGAGGTCCCGGGTTCGATCCCCAGTTGGTTCGATGGATTCGCACACTGCTGATGAGATCCAACCAGGTCAAAACAGCTGTCCAGTGCTTCTTGGCTTTTCAATTCACATTTCGTTTGCTCTTAACACGACGAAGTGCAAAAAAGAAATTATCAACCTTTAGGTAATTCACCACATATTTCAACACAGACGTGATAGATATTATTACTTGCTTTTCGTAAATTACTATCCAAACTATTACGATGTAAAGGAAAATTACTGAATCAACAAAGAACCTCCATGTAACCTCTACATATACCTATTCAACTATAGAATACCAACGTCTTACTGGATACACTAAAGATCGCTCTTTATGTGCGAAAGACGTTCTACGGTGACATTGTCTTTTTACTTCCTTTTTTATTTATTGAATATACAGATGTAGAGTCAACTTTCGGGAAGGGAGCCGCGGCCATACAAAGGCTGATTGGGGGGAATACAGAAATGGGGAAGACGGACGGCGGTAGAGCAGTTGGAACCCGGGACTTACGGGTCACAACTTGGTAACCTAACCACTTGGCCACCACCGCCGAAGTACTTGAGAAAAATTACCATGCTCTCCCGCTGGGGTAATAGTTCCATGAAATATTACAAGTGATGCTATCTTCTCAAAGTGGTTTACACTAACCTTTTGAATATTTTTTCTAGCAGGTAACTCGTTACTAAGATGAATAAAGCCTCTGAAACAGGCCTCTTTCATTCGCTTAGTCGACTCGCTGGTCAGTAGAGGAGAAGTTATTTCTGTTTGAAAATTCAAGCTATAATTGATATCGCCCGATTATTGGACAGTTTATGAATCTCGCACCCGTATTCTATAGAGGGGCCAAGTCACGAGTATCAACTGGAACAACCGTATAAAGACCGCATATGTCAGCGATGGGCACTGCCAACGTATCACAAAACATACCAGAGAAATAAGAAGCAAAATAGCTACACAACTGAATAACAGATAATAATCACCATGCACTTCCGTGTGAAGACCAACCACTACACGGAAAGCATCAAACGGAGAAGTGAAACTTAGTGAACAGAACAGAAAAAATACCCCAATAACTTACAGTTCACGTACATCCTCATCGGCGAGCAATGTCGTTAAGTTCCGCACCAAATAGAACAAAGGTGTTTCCGGTTGGAGTAGGGTCAATGGATTCGGGTCTTCATCGTAACAAGTATAGTTGAAATTGCACAGCATGGATTGAACATAGTGTAACAGACCCATACTGGGCATACTTTGGGACTGCACATGGCATGCGGGTTCTTTGTACACGGGAGTGTGTAAACGAAATGCGGCCAGAATGAGAACAAATAATAAAGGAAAAAGGAGTTCGGCTATCAAAAGCACCGGGGATCGGCGGCGAATGAGCCAATTTTTCCACAATAATATACGATAGATACGCGCGTATTTGCACAGACGCCACTGTTTGCGTACATATGGTTTTGGAATCACAGTGGATGACCAGACCGGTTGTGTGTCACAATGCGAGCCGAATCCATTGGGCTGATTCACACCGGTAGCCGACAGATCCATCGGTGCCGAGAAAGGAGTGTTCTGACTAGTTGAATTGTTCCGTACTCATGAAGTTGCAACCGAAGAAATTATTCAGATAATCGTTGATAAAATGGCTAAAACAGGATAAACGACTGAGTTATAATGGAAGGGATTTACGGATGACTCTTGGTTATATATTTAGTGAACAGCCACCATCAGCATCGTTATAAAGTAGAACAGAGTAAGAAGAACTTTACTGAACAGTGTAAGGAATATAAAGAAAAACGAGTATGCAGCGGCAAAGAACAAAAAAGTAACTGTTGCAACCAAGCAACTGATAACAGTTGCAAGGAAGAAATAGTAAATGGGAGACATAGGCAATAGCTATAATTGCCAAATTTAATGATAAATTTTTGCGACTGTTAGACTCTGTGTAGCGAGGAAGCAAACTGATTTTGACGTTGGCGGTCAAGTGAATCGAAGGCTCCTTTTGAGTTCGGGAACTCTGTGATCGCTGGTGGACGAGGTGAGTGGTGTACCTCGATGCAACCTGAAGAGTTGGTCAATACATCCGCTACCTGCTCGGAGTACTGCTTGCTGTTCGTATTCATCTCCGTTAAGGGTTTAAGACGACTAAGTACGACGGAAGTTAACACTGGTGACGGATGGGATAAAACTGATCCCGCGGAGGGATGAGCACTCATTACGAGATTCACTCAAAAAGTGGAAAGATCAGTGATTCGCGGCAAGATGACGCAGTAGATCAGTAATGGAGTCCACGAGGTCATCACACACAAACACACACACACGCACAAATATCAATCTTGAAAAAGGTTGAAGGACAACAGTGAGGCTCTGCAGCTTTTCTTCTCTTTAGAGCTAGAATGCAGGGCCATTAATTTGGTTCCGTCAGAGGGTCAGAGGACACTCCTCGGAAAATTAGCTTCAAAATACGAGTAGTCTGGTTAGCATCGGAGCATCTGAACTGTTCGCTGAAATACTCTACACAGTGATCAAGCCGTTGCTTCCTACTGTGAGTAACTTGTTAACTTCTGTTGCGGACTGGTTGACTAAATAAGGTTGCCCGACCTTTAGGATTTTGTCTCACTTGGGACAATTACTGGATATTTTCTGATGCAGTTGCTATTTTCATTTTACGATCAACTTTTGCGCACGTCTTTTCGGTCCTTCTTGAAAATCTTCGCAAGCTAAAATTAGAGACGCCACCTACCCCCGTTTTGACCCTGGACAAACTGAGAGTCATCTTTTCTGCATCGGGTCTCCTTACGCCTGAGATACTCAATATATCATAATTGCTTCGGGCTCATGTTCACAAGCAACGTTCTCTGCTGAAAATCTAACCTGATCCAATTGTTTATCTTCACCACCACGCTGCCTTGCCCGGAGTTCATGCCCCAGATCTAACTAATAGCGGAGTGGGAAGAGCGTTTAGATCAAGCAACGATGGGCTTA